AGGTGCAGTCTTAGATTGGTGGAGGAGGCTGCTGACTCGGCCCTATAGAGTTACGGGCTTGCTCTGGGGCCGACACGGGCTTGGCAGGGGCTCTGGAAATAACACTACATCAAACAATTGGCAGGAGCACACCCGGGGTCCGTTCCAGGGGCACGGGCGTCCAGCCCTGTTTCTGCTGTGCTCTGGGGCCGGACAGGCTGATCCAGCTGTAGACGGGGATTCCTCGGCCGCGTTGCTCAGGGTGCTCCGTGACGGGTTATGGCCCCTTGTGCCGCAGCCCCCCTCCCACATTGTGGTGGAGAGGCTGTGCTGAAGGACTCCTGGCTGGAGGGAGGCAGGCTGGCGGGCAGGCGGTGCGGAGCGGCTCTGCTGCAGGGCAAGGTGCACATGTCCAATGCAACATGGGCAGGGGTCTGCTCACCTCTCCCCTGCCTGCCTGTCTGCCCCCTTTCATCACTGCTTGGCTGCTCATTCGCATGCCTTCACTGGATTGAAGGTCTAAAGTAAACAGACCCCATGGTCCAGGAGACTTTGACCCCTGAGGACAGCGGAGGTGTTCAAGCTGTCAGGTTTTGTGCAAGCAAGTGTGGTGTTGGTGCCTTCTAGCTCTGCCCAGAGGCTGTCCCGCTCGCTTGCATGCATGTTCCCGAGAGCTGTTTGCGTCTTGTTGTCCTCCCTCAATTCGGTTCCTCCTCAGCCAGGGGTAGGGGCAGCTGGAGCCAAATTCCTTGCAATCACAGACGAGGTTGTCAGCATCCTGGAACCCAGTGCAGATCTGAGGAGCTCTGATTGCTGTCATCTTCCTGCTCTGCTATGGCCCTGGGCCACGCTGCTGCTTGCCTGCCCTCATCCACGTGCCAGCCCCAAGGGAGCTGTGGGCACAAGCGTATGTGGGTGACCACAGGGTCTCCAGGTTCAGCACAAACAAGGAAATGCCCCACATGTGCCTCAACCCCCTCCTCTTCGTCTCCAACCTTCGCATCCCCAGTCATGGCTTTTTCCTCCCCATCTCACAGCAGTCTCCGTGTTATTCGCCCTGTCTTTCTGTGATTCCCCCCATTAGGAAGCAGGGGGTCTGCTTAACACTTTGGTTAGGCTGCAGATGGCTGCAAAATCTCTGCACCTCCTCTCTTTCTCAATGCCAGGATGCTAGTTATCACTCAGCGACCAGAGCTGCAGCAGTGATTGCTCTGCTGGACTTAGATCTTCAGGCTTCCAAATGTGTCTCTAATCACAGGCTTCCAAGACCTGAAAACAGGCACAAAATACCCCTATGTGGTCCTTGCAGTCAGCTAGCCAGTAGAGCAAATGCACTTAAGAAATGCCTCCTAGCTGCCAGCAGGTCCCACTTCCACAGCTCAGCACATGCCCCATGTCACAGCAGCAGCTGAAACTCAAGGGAGGTTGTCGCTGCGGGTCTTCGTTGAGTGGGCAGATGCTTGACTGGCTTTTTTTCAGAGTAATTCCATGGGGATATGAAAAATGCATCCCCGTGGGTCTTCCATCTTCCTGTGCCGCAAGAAAATCCCATTCTCAGTCCCTCTGGCTTTGGGTGATAAAGTTCCCCCTTGGAGACCAAATGGCTCTAGTTGATTTTGGCAGGAGTTCAGGCTAGTTGAAGGGGCCGTTTTCATCCTCTTTAATCATGTGCAAGTATCTTCCTCCTTTGGCTACCTCTGATTGACTGCCCTGTAACCAGCCCCACATGCAGGAGACCACACAGTGCAAGTGAAGGGAGCTGTAAGGCAGACACTCAATGGAGGTGACCTAAAGAGCCTGACTGTTGTGAAGTGAGGAGCCGAGGCACTGGCATGCTGTGGTGCGCTGTCTTTGCCGACAGGAGATCTCACCCCATAGTGGAGCCAGGGAAACAGTCCTTTCTCTGTAGTCTTACTGCTCTTAACAGAACTACTGAGCACTGTGACCTCTCATTGCCCTGTGCCTCCTCTGCGAGGGCTCCCAGATCCACGCCTGTCCAGTGTGAAGGCATCGCTCCACATTGTTCCTGTCTGTAGACCGCATCCCACACTCACATCCTTTCTGTCTCCCGGTCTTGCTGGCGTGTGTTGTACTCACTTAAAGTCACTGGGCTGTAGTTCAGTGACCTGGTGTCTCGTGCACAGAGATAACATGTCCAGTGGATGTTTCCAGCTTTCTTCTTGGCACTGTGGTCTTTGGAGAGAACTTCTCCTTACGCTCGTGCGTCCTGGGGAGGCGTGCACCAGAGCAGACTTGACAGCACTGGGAATTTAATTCCAGCAACCAGAGACAGAAATGGCAGAAGCTAGTTCAGTGTAAACACTTACAAATGTACAGAAGTGCAGCCAGGCAAGAGCTAGACAAATGGAGAACTTGTTTGGATTGACTGTCTGCCCGAGACACTGATTGTTAGTAGAGTCTGGATATGTCCGGATGTCTCCGTCGACTGCAGCTTTCATGTTTGGTACATGTTTGTGTGCGGAAAGACATCAGAGAAGAAGAATCGGAGGTAGGCATCTGTCCGAGTGAACCTGCCACGACCAATCCCCACTTTTTTTTGTTTTGCCCAGCATCAGAAAAGCCAAGGCACTTGAATGCTTCGTCTGCATCCTAAGGAGACTATGTTAAAAGCTGAGTTCAGAATTAAGGTAGAAGTGGGGTTCACCTGGCCAGGACTCTGTAGCGGGTGTTACATTAGCTCAGAGGTTTCCTCAGGCTCTGCTCAGGCTTTTGACTGTCTGGTTTGCTGCTGGGAGGGTGTATATTGTTAGACTCCTTCAGAGAAGTTGGCACAGAGATGGGTATTCAACCAGGCTATAGTGGAAGTCTTTGGGAGTCTGCTGTTCCTCATCTAAGTGAGAGCCGAAGATGGGATCCCTGGGCTATGTCAGAGTCAGCCCTGGAAGAAAGGGGAGATCCGAGACCTTGTTCCATGAGCTGTTGGGGCAAAGGCTGTCACCCAACCTGTTAAAGAAAGAGATGAACCAGCAACGGGGCCCTGGAGAGTGGCAGGACACCTGCATGCTGTCGTGTGGCTGCAGTCCTTCAGCTCTGGCTGGAGATGACTGGATGAAATGTGCTGTGCTGCAAGGTAGGATAAATCAGATGGAGACATCCAATGACCCTCCTGGGTCTTTAGTGTTCGGAGGAGATGCTGGAGCACACACGGAAAGGCTAGAACAGAGAGGTAAGAGGATATGGGAGCTGGAAGGTAAAACTCAAAGTTTCCTTGACAGAGGAAAAAGGGCATTGGAGGCTGAGGAAGCAGCTGATGTAGAGACACTTGGACATGGCTGGGAGGAAACCCAAGGACTGGCGGGGTATTTGAGCAGTATTGGTGAGGCAGCTGTACAGAAGCAATGTCCTGTGCCATGGCCAGCTCAGAATGCGGGGCTAGTAGCAGGCACACTGCTGGGCAGAGCTACTCCCACTTACCTGCCAGACCATATACTATTTGAGGGTATACAGTGATATGTGGAGAAGAACATGCTGGAACAAGGTCAAGAGATGGTCTGTGGAAACAAAAACCAACAAGAGCCAAGCTGCAGGTTGACACAGCCACCAGGGAGGGTGTGGATTTGGACACTGGTTGCCTTGAAGTCTTGGCCCTCCTCAGGCACATGGGCATAAAGGAAACTGATAGCGGAGAGTTTTTTCTGAGGGCAAGGTGAGGTGATCTGCCCAGAGGGGTTTACAGCCCTCCTCTTTCATTTCCTCCCTGTCCCTGAGACCACAAAGCTCTAAGACCAGCAGCGCTCCAGGAGAAGCCCATACTGGTGATGGACACCTTCTCTACTGCGCAGGAGCTTTCTGCAAGGGCTTGGGGGACTTTCTGGCTGCAGCAGTAAACCTGTGTCTTCCAGGTCCTGTTTTTTCACTGCCCGCTGTCCCTTATTTCAGGCTGAAGTCAGCCTGAGTGTGGGCTGGGCTGTGCACCCACCAGTTGTGCTCGCTGCACATCTTCCTGGGCTGCTTTCTCTCCTCCTGCCTATGGGTTTTAACTGCATTAAGAAACAAGTCTTTGAAGGCTATTGTTTTGTTTTTATTCCCACTCCCCATGTTTTTTCAAGTTTTTTGTCCTAGAGAAAAGTCTGAATTTCACTGGAAAGTTGGATCTTGTAATGTCTGGTTTGGCGTCCGCAGCACTCCCCAAACAGACCTCCCACCGCGAGAGGGGTGGCAGCTCACCCATGGAGCCGTCGTCATCAGAAACGCTGAGCGGCTCCGCAAGCTGCACGCTCCCCTGTGCTGTGCCTGCAGGCGTTGAAACAGCCACAGGAAGCCCCTTGAAAATCAACCCCCTGGTCTGCTCTTGTTGTGATCAGATCAGGGAGGCTACAGCGGAAAAAAACCTGGAAATATGGGAAGGAGGTTACGAAGGGGGCCGGTTCTGCAACTGCTACACCATGTGCCACAGGGAGCCTGTCTGAGACAGAAAAGAAGGGCTGGAGGAGGAGAAAGAAGCTGAAACCTCTGCAAGATTGTGGCAGTACCACAGAGAGCAATACCTGGGGAAGCACAACGTTTTCAGGACTGCCTTGTTCTGCAGAGTGCTTGTTTTGCTCATTGTTCATGCACGGCATTGTGGTCTTGGCACACAGCAGCACAGGGTTGCAAAAGTGGGGGGTTTTAGGTACAGAGGTATATTGTCCCAGCTGGAAGCCACTGTGGGAGCAGGATGAGGTTCTTTCTGTTGAAATGACCCCAAAAGCCAATGGTAATTACCAGAATCTTTTTTTTTTTCCCCCTCAAGAATATTTTTCACCTTGAAGATCTTTATTGACCATGATCTTTTATTGACCTTTGAGCAGAGGGCTTAGTTTCATACCATGTATCAGCACTGGTGCATGCCCTCCTCACCCCTGCCTTTGTTGGAGCACTGGAGAAAGTCTTGCGGGATCCTGCGTACCACAGACCACCTGGAGGAAAGGAGAGTGGTCATGACATATCTGGGCCGAAGGATTCATGTCCTTTCCCTCTTGTCCATTCTGCCTGGGAACTCAGCTTAGCCCCACAGCCACAGCCCTGCCTACTTCTTGGTCTGGTGTCTTCCATGCGTTTTCTTTCTGGAGGCTGCTATGGGGTCGGAGCTGCTCTGCTCTTCTGCCAGCGAGTTCAGCAGCTGAGATCCTCTCTCTGCAGTGGAGGCTGATCTTCTCTGCTTCACACTAAACTAAGATGAGGTTTGACTGGGTCCACCACCCCCACCACTTCAGATGCCATAAGATGATGCACTCTGGCTTCTTTTATCTCCCACATGCTGGAAAACCCAGAGCAAGCAGAGGCACCACCGTCATGACTGCAAGCTCTGTGCCTACTGTGGGCATGGGGAGATGCCTGGGGTCCAACTGGAGCTGGGGTTCTTCTGTGGAGCTGGTCCAGGGTCTCCAGAAATGTCTGTGAGTCCTGAAAGTGGTAAAGGAGATCAGCAAGGCAAGGTTTCTCAGAGAGATAATGCCTTTTGTGTGATAAATGGAAAGAGTTGAAAGAAATGGGCTAGCTTTCAGCAGCCAAGCATTTCCTCACTTCTCATCTGACTGCAGGCTCGCTGCTTCCCCTTTTAACTGAATGATATTGGCTGGCCTAAAGCAATGTATTATCTCACTCTGCAAACCTTGCCTTGCTCAGGCCCTCATGGCTACCACCACTGGAAGTAGTTCCTTTCTACTTCACCATCAGCCTGAGCTTCTTTATCCCATCTTCAGACAGCATTTGGGGAGCCAGGGCCCTTGGGTAAAGTGTCTTCTCCTGGAAAGTGATGGACAGCTTCTGAAGTGTGCCTGGCTGCTTGAAGATCATCCTACTAGGCTGCAAAAACCCTCTGCCTGATTTCTGTGCATTCGTTTCCCTTCTTATTCTGCTGTGCTCAAGTATTATTCTAGCTGGGGACAGGTGCTGGTGGGAGCCCTGGGCTGTGGTTACTTCGTGCTCACCTATTCCTTTCTGGATCTGTGAGCTTATTGCACGCATGCTCCCCTGTGAGATCCTATTCCCACTGGGGATGCCCAGTGACTGCAGAGTTTGCAGAAAGCAGCACCGGGCGGTGGGATGACGCAGGACTGGAGGGAGTGAAGCAGAACTGGAGGGAGCGATGAGGAGAGCTAAGGGGGAGTCCTGGTGTGCAGGTACCTGGTGAGCACATCGCTTCAGTGCAGCACCCACGGGGCTGAAATGCCCATGAGATGAAGCTCCAAAATCACTCTCAGCAAGCCTGAAATCCTTCTGCCTGACAGATGCAGCTTAGCTGCTGTGTCCCCAGCCTCAGGCTCCAGGAGCACCCCTTCTTGGAGAGAGTGTAGACAGACAGACAGACACAGGAGGCTGGGACCCCTCTGGCTGTGGGTGCTGACAGATTTCTGCCCTCTCCAATAGTCCAATTGGCTTTTTCCCAGTCATTGCCCTTTGCTGGGTTCCAGAGGAATGGCCTCCCACTCCTACCAGCTGCATGGGAGAGGGGTGAATGCTGATCCCCTCTGCGGGAAACTCAGGTGTCCTAAGCTGTTTTTTCAGGGGTTTTTGGCTGTCTCTGCTGTAGTTCGGCCACATCAGAGGTCGTGGAAGGAAACGGTCCTCTGCTCGAGTAACCAAGTACAAAGCTGAGAGTTAATAGCTTACATCCTCCTGCAGCCACACGCTGTCTTCCCTTGCGGCCAGGTCCTGGCAGAAAGAGAGCAGCCTCCATCCAATACTTCAGAAACTGTCTTGGTTCCCCTTGGTACAGAGAGATCTGCTCACATTACATTACAGTTAGTCTTTCCAGGGAATGCGAGTTTCTTTGCAAAATTAAGACATTTGTCCACAGCCTCACAAGTGATTTGCTACAGTAACGAGCCGCAGGTTTCTGCAGACTGGAGTCGTACGAGTGCTGAGGTGGCACGAGACCTGCAGGCTCAGCCCCCATCACTGGTATTTTCTGCCTTGCCCTCTCCCCAGCAGCATCTGGCGGAGGGATGCTGCAGGATCTGTTTCTCCGCAAAGGCTTTTCAGAGAGGGAGCGGGGCTCTGACACATGTCATCGCTGTTTGATCTCCGGCATGCTTGGCTCCCTGTCGGAGGGCTCGCGCATAACGATGCTGCTTCATTTGAGCATCTGTTATCACATCGTGCTGAGGCTGACAGATGCTTCCAAGCACAGTTAATGCCTGTCAGCAGCCCTGAGCCCACAGGCTGCGGTGTGGGAGGACCTGAAATCCCATCGGGGCCCTGAGCCTGCAGCCTGTGAGCCAGAGGTTGTTTTTTCCTTCCCAGAAGGTTGGAAATGTACCCAGTGATTCCCAGTATCACCAGCAACACCCTCGCCCCTAACATCCAGATACTTGTAAGCACCTCCTGCTTACAATTCATGACTGAACTGTTGAAGGGGGTGAATAGATTTTTCATCTTAGTCATTCGTCCAGCCGTGGAGGATCTCTCTGCACCTGGAAAACCCTGTAGCTTCGTTTAATGTACCTGGGGAAACCAGGCTTTCTATTCTTCTTACTGGTACAGGCTCATGAATGGCTTGTTGTTCTCCTGTCTTGTATTTCCCAAGCACCTTCATCCTAGGAGGCTAGTCCCTAGCTTTTGCATTTCAACAAGTGTCCTAGAATGGCTTTAAGCTGCATTTTAGGGTCAAAGTGTTCAGGACAAAGAGTTATGGACATGCCTGTTCTCTGCCCCCTGTGTGTTGTTGGTGTTGTTAACCTTTGCAGGCTCTTTCCAACCATCTCCTGCCGCAAGGATGGTCTCAATTTGTCCTGTGTTCTCAAAAGCTGCAATGCATTAGGAATCTGCCATATCCTCGATACAGCTATTGCCATGGAGGCCTTTCCATGTATGACACCAGGGTGTGAGCTACTGATGCCAGGCAGGAGGAATTCGAGTGGTGGGAATACGGCTGGGCAGTCACTTGGCTGTTACACGCACTTCTTGTTTCCAAGTCCAGAAAATTAAAAAGAAACCCCACCCTGCGAAAATCCCATCCTTCCTACCCCACCCTGTGCTTACTCACTTCCCAACCCATAACCTCCCGGATTCCCTTTCCCTTGCTCCAAAATACTGTGCCTAAATTTGACCTCCTTGGAATTTATGGGCCATGTTTTACTTGCCTTTAAAAAATTTGGAGAGATTTAATTGTGCGGGTTGTAGGCCATTTTGAAACCCACAAAAGTATTCTAAGCAGTGATTTGAAATTTTCTTTGATGACAGTGGTCGGGGCAGGAAATCACATGCAGTAAAAAAGGAGGAAAATATAATAAACAGGCCCTGGGCTGTTATTTCAGCATCTTGTTAAGGACCTCTGTCATTCCTTTCACTCTGATCCCCCTTGTCATGTGCCACCTGGCTATCCAAGCTGGCTTGCGAGGAGCTGAGGTGACACAGTGATAGACATGAAGCACAGGCAGCACCTCTAGGTCACCATTTTGGCACCTGCCAAGCAACAGAAGACACCGCTTGGGAAAAGTGGCTGTTCCCATCTTTCCCTCTGCCCTGGGAGTCATCAGAGGCCCATCCAAGGCAGACCTAGGGACCCTTTCCCCTCCGTAAGGAGGGCAGAAAGAAGGCAGGATGCTGGTGGCTGGCTCTCCTGCTGGCATCCCACACTGTTTGTTTTCTTCACAGCACACCCTGTGATTGAGAATGGGCAGGTGGAGTGTCCCCAAGGATACAAGAGGCTGAACCGGAGCCACTGCCAAGGTAAGGATGCTGCTTTCATATCTCTCTCTCCTTCCCACAACCACTGTCAGAGCTGCAATTGTCTACACAAGTAAAACACAGTTATCTAGTTCCCTGATGCCAATCTACAAAGAATGTGACTCATAAAAATCCCTGTGCTGTCATCAAGCATGAAAAAAAACAGGTAACACTGGACTACGTGACTCAGCTGATAAACACAGTCAGCACATATTTGGGCCAGCACAAGAAAACTCACCTACTAAGTCCTACTGCCACAGTAAGGACCTATGTTGCTGCTCTGCTACATGTGAATGTAAAAACGCTTCTCCAATTGTCTGAAGCAACAGAAATTCTGTTACCTCAAAACATTTGGGAAGGTTGTCGGCTTGTTCATTTTCAAGTGGGAGAGTGCCAAAAAGCAAGTCCTTCTGTTCCAAGCATGTGGCTTGCCCATGGCTGCCCTGCCTGCCCCACACTGCTGGGGGTCTATCCGCTTCTCTGTCCCGTGGTCCCTCAGGAAAGCGCCATCTCTCCGCTTTTCTCTCCGGTTCATGCTTATTTGTATTTTTCCTTGTGTTTTTCCGTGCTGTGACTGAAGTGGAATTTTATGGCTCCCTTCTCGTGATTCATGATAAGCTGAGAGGTGTCATCTCGAAGATGCAGCAGGGAGCCTGGGTCCCAGCCATGCAAACCCAGAGCTGGCAATCCAATGACTCATCTCTTTTAGCTGGGACTTTCCACCATGCTTACTTAATTAATGATTCAACCTCCCCATATTGTCCTGGGGGAGAACTTTCAACAAGGCAACAACTTCTATTCTCCTTGATGCTCAGATCTCACCCCTTATGTGGCCACAGACAACGCTGTGGCTATGAGGAGCTACCCCAAGACTGGAGTCGGAGGAGCAGAGCAGCTGAGGGACTCGTGTCAGCAAGCAGAGACCTGCGGTGCCTGCTCTGGATTTGTGTCCCCTCTGGAGCAGGGGGAGGCTCAGTGCTCTGAGGAGCAGAGGGAGATGGCAATGTGGAGTTGGCTAGAAAGATGTTTTTTGCACGTGAACCATGAGCCAGAGATTTGTGCCTCTGTGTGCTCCTTCGTAAGCTGGGCTGGAGAAGTACTGTTCTGCAGACAGTCTGCTGCCTTGAGGTGCTTTTCCCATCTCTGCTGTGGGATGTGTGTCAGGAAGCCTAGCCACCTCACTTAGGGTGAGGCATTTGCAATTTGGAGTGAGCAACTTGGCTGATAGGCTGTGGGAGAGGCTGCACGGGGCCTTCCCTTGCCAGCCCAGGTAGGAGGGGAGCGGAGGGGCTGGGCAGCAGCGGAGGGTCCTGAGATCATTGGCTGCAGGAGAGGAGCTGGGCTGGGAAGAAGCTGAGCTCTGGCTTTGCAGGCTGTCATCAAAGCACAGATGAGTGACTGGAGGAGGGCCCTGGCAAGAGCCCGCTTTGTTCTGTATGGACAGAAAGGGTTGTCTGTGGTGCCTTCCAGCAGAGGAACAAATGGCTTATCTCCGCAAGATCTCCCTTCCTTTCCTTCCTTCATCCCATTGACCAGGAACAAGGCTGTAACGAGTCTGAGTTGAGAGTGCATGGCAGACCCAGTCAGGAAACCTCCCAGTGCTGCTGGGACCAGCAAGAATGATGGCACTGGAAGGGATAATGTGGTTGGTAGATGAGGCAAAGGTTGTCTTGGAGGCTGCAGGCTGGGGAGCCCGGAGACAATGGTAAGCAGGTGTGCATGCACAGGGGTCACTGCACAGGACACATGCTGGCACCTTGGTGTCTGTATATCCTTGATGTCCATTGCTGATTCAGGTCCTTTCTGCTCACCAAGCACCACTGTAAACCAGCCTGCGCCTTTCCACCACAGGCTGCCTGCCCCAGCATGGCTGTTTCTGAGGAGCACTGGCAGGCTTGTGTGGGGTGAGAGGAAGCAGCTGAGACGGTTCACAGATCTTGGTTTGCGGTCCCTGAGGCCTCTTTTGTGGGCCAGCCCCATCCCTGGCATGCTGCGGGGGGTAGGAGTGCGTGGCCCCGAGCGCGCCTGCTTGCTTCTGTTCCCCATGGGGATTTCCACTGCGGGTGGGTCCTCTGCTGCCAGGGGAATACAGGGGGCTGGCCTGAGGCCAGGACGTGGCCGTGTTTTATATTAAGCTCATAAAGCCCAGCCCTTGGTGCTTGTTTGTTTTGTGCTCTCATTACTCTAATCCCTTCAATCCCTTTGCTCATGCAGAGGCCAAACACTTCATCCAGTTGGTGTACTGGAATGACACAGTGCCCCAACCGTGCCGGGGAGTGAGGTGGATGCGCCCTGAGGCTCCTCTGGGGAGCCCAAGCCTTTTCTCTGAGTGGGGTACCCAGCACATTTGGGGTCTGGCCACTGGTTTTTCTCATGAACTCTGTCCTGTGCTTGGTATGGAGCAGGAAACCATTTCATTATCCAGCCAAACTGTAGTCCTCCCTGGCCTGCTGCGCATTCCTGTAGAGTTGGTACTTCCAATTGACTGAACATCATGGCTTGGTCTTGATGGCCTCTGTGTGTCTCAACCACGTATAGGGCAGCCGGTGGGCTGAATGGAAGAGTTTCAGAGCACAAGGCTGGGGACAACCTCTCAGGTCATTAAGTCTGAACTCCACCTGACACAGCTGGATGCGTGATACTCCCACCAAGCAGAGATGCTTCAGCTCCAAGGAATAAGGTAGTGCTGGGAAAGCCGTTCTTGAGCATAGCTGCTCTCAGTCAGGCTCTTCCAGTGTCTCCATTCTTCCAAGTGTCCCAGCAGCCCGCCACTGCACACCTTCCACCTTGAGAGAGTCTCTAGAGCAATACTGGGTGCTCTCAGGGCACCTGAGGTCTCACCAGGGCCTTTTACACTGGCATTAGGACTGTCCTGTGTCTTTGGAAAGTGTTTGGCATGATGCTGCCTAGCATCGTATTGGCATTTCTTGGTCTTGGCAGCTCACAGCTGTCCTGCGAGCAGCAAGTGTGCCCAGGTCCCTCTCACTGCCTGCTCCCACCTCTTAGCTTGTAGCATATGTGCCTGTGATTTGTCCCGACGTGGTGCTGAGGTTCATCTCGCTCCTGCTGCACCATGCTCCCATCCAGCTCTTCCTGTACTGCTTGTGCCTCCTGACACAGCACATTTTGTCAGCACACTTACTTTTCTGGTGCCAAGCTCTTTAGTTAAGATATAAAGCTACATCCATCCATAAGGAAGACTTCCTCCTCACTCTCCACTGTTAAAGCTGCCCTTACCTCCCTCTTATGCACATTTCGCCAATCCCTGTCTTCTCCAGCTTAGCTCATACATTCCTGTGTGGTGCTGTAGGAAAAGCAGGCGCTGTAGGCCAAATGGATGAGACCAATGGTGTTTCCCTGGGATAAGTCCAGCTTCCTTCCTGAAGACTGAGTCTGATGTTGTGTGCTGAGTCAGCGGCAGAGGCAGAGCTCAAGGCAGGGCTTGAGCTTGGCATCTTCTTGCTTGCTCAACCAGTTCCCAGAAGAAGACACTACAGTGAGGAGTTGGAACCTGGCCCACCATCCCTCTGCCTAGCACTGGGCTCCACACGCAGGGATCAGCCACTGCCCTCCCTGTGTGCTGGCACTGAGTTTCTCAGCAAGGATCCTCCATGGATGATGGCTCCATGTGAGCTGGACCAGGGGTCAGGTGAGAGGACAGGACTTCCTAGTCCAGGCTTGCAGACAATGACCATGACGGCTGTAAGAGTGACCCTGCTGAGGCAGATCACCAGAGGGGCCACATCTGTTTTCCACGAGGACCGTGGAGAAGAGCAGTCATTCATGAGCCATCCCTCCAGCTTCAGCAAGTGAGCTCTGTGCTGCAGATGTAGGACTGCTGTTACCGTGGAGGTCCCCACCATACTGCTCGGTGCAGAGGCTGCCTCAGACACCAGCCCAGCTGAGACCCCCTCAGTCTGTGGCACCTGAATGGGAGACACCGGGTAGGGAGTTCAGTTCACCCTCAGCTTCCCCACATCTCACTGGGCTCTCTCCTCCCCACAGATATCAACGAGTGCTTGATGCAGGGCCTGTGCAAAGATGCTGAGTGTGTGAACACCCGTGGCAGCTTCCGCTGCACCTGCAAGCCTGGCACCATGCTGGACCCATCCCGTAGCCATTGTATCTGTAAGTGCTCCAGGGAACTCCTCAGTTTGGGAAAGGAGCCTGAGCAGGACCCCACGGCTGAGTGGAGGCTGCAGTGTGCTTCATGCCTCTTGCGAGCGTGGCTGACTGCGTGCTATGCTATCCTGCGCTTCTGTGCAGGATGTGACCCCATGCCTCAGGCCCTCCTTCATCCATCATTCTTCTCCACGGATGTCTCATGGCTTCTGCTGCTGTTTGCTGCGAAGCCCAGAGGGAACGTGCCTGCATTGTAGCAGCAGAGGACGCGGCCTCCCGGGTTGAGAGCTGCCACAGGAGCTGGATTTACTTGGGGCTGGCACTGCTGGGGGGGATGGCCCGATGGCTGATGGCCAGGGGGTGTTCTGGGGAGAGAATGGGGCAGCCCTGGGGACAGGCTGGGAGGCAGAGGCAAAGAAAGGCCTGGGGGGTAGAGGCTGAGTGTCCTCATTTCTCTCGCTGGGGAGTGCAAAGCTTGACCTCCGTCACTGACCCTGCCATTGTGTTTCAGCGGACAAAGCGGTGTCAATGGAGCAGGGGCTGTGTTACCGCTCGGCAGCCGGAGGCGTGTGCTCCTTCCCCCTTTCCCATCGCATCACCCAGCAGATCTGCTGCTGCAGTCGCGTCGGCAAGGGCTGGGGGAAGAATTGCGAGGAGTGCCCTGTGCCTGGCTCAGGTGAGACGTGCCCGCTTTAGCTTTGCCTGCTCTGGTTAGACTGCAGCTTGGGCTTGCTTGAACTTGAAACCACGCAGACGAGTACAGGACCCAGAGCCGAGTGATGCAAATGCTAGCCTGTGAGATGGGTACAGCAGCCCAGGGAGCAGACCTGGGTAATACTGGGAAGACAGGGAAATCCCTGATGGGAAACCACTCTGTAGCAGAGCGACAGCCATGTCTGTGCCTGGCTTTGTTTGACAGCCCTTTTGTCTCTCGTACATCTTCTGCTGAGGTGAGTCAGGCGAGGATCAGTTTGGCATATCTCAGCATGGAGTAGGGTGGAGGGGAAAGCAGCAAAATTCTCAGGGCTGGGAATACATGGGGGTTGGACTAGATGATCTCCAGAGGCCCCTTCCAACCCTGACCATTCTGTGATTCTGTGAAAAATCTTCAGGTGGTTTGTGCAGAGTATCTTGAGTGATGTGCAAAGCGCTCAATGCCAATATACCAGGGGTTTGCTTTAATCTGCTCCCTTGCTCAGCTTGGACCTTGCTGTGGCATGATCCCTTCCTAGCAGTACTGACCCAGGGTTGGGATTTAGTTTTTGGTGTCTGGGAGTACCAGCCAGTGCCTGTTAGAAACCCACCCTGCCCTATGAGCAGATTCCTTCTGCTCAAAGCATCCACACACTGCAGCCCATATGTCTTTCTATAAGGATTTAACCCTTAGAAATCTCCAGAAAATGATAAGGTGTGAGAAACTGATACCTGCTTTCACATAGACAAGCTTAGGAAGTGTGGGTTAGATGAACGGACAGTGAGGTGGATTGAAAACTGTCTGGCAGATAGAGCTCAGAGGGTTGTGGTTAGTGGCACAGAGTCTAGTTGGAAGTTTGTAACAAGTGGTGTTCCCCAGTCCAGTCCTGTTCAATATCTTCATCAATGACCTGGATGAAGGGATAGAGTGTACAATCAGCAAGTTTGTTGATGACACAGAACTGGGAGGGGTGGCTGACACACAGGAAGGCTGCACTGCCATTCAGCGTGACCTGGACAGGCTGGAGGTTTGGGCAGAGAGAAACCTTACAAAATTTAACAAAGGCAAGTGTAGGGGACTGCACATGGAGAGGAATAACCCCATGCATCAGTACAGGTTAGGGGCTGACCTGCTGGAGAGCAGCTCTGCAGAGAGGGACCTGGGAGTCCAGGTAGGCAGAGTTGACCGTGAACCAGCAATGTGCCCTTGTGGCCAAGAAGGCCCATGGTATCCTGGGGCGCATTAAAAAGAGTGTGGCCAGCAGGTCGAGGGAGGTTATCTTTCCCCTCTGTTCTGCCCCGGTGAGGCCACATCTGGAGTACTGTGTCCAGTTCTGGGCTTCCCGATTCAAGAAGAACAGGGAATTGCTGGAGAGGGTACAACAAAGGGCCACAAAGGTGATTAGGAGACTGGAACATCTTTCTTTTGAGGAAAGAACTTGGCTCTTTTTAGTCTGGAGAAGAGAAGACTGAGGAGGGATCTTACCAATGCTTATAAATACTTAAAGGAAGGGTGCCAGGAGGATGGGACCAGTCTTTTTTCAGTGGTGCCCAGGACAGACCAAGAGGAAATGGACACAAACTTGAACACAGAAAGTTCCATCTAAACATGAGGAGGAACTTCTTTCCTTTGAGGGTGACAGAGCACTGGAACAGGCGGCCCAGAGAGGGGGGAGAGGCTGCGACTCTGGAGACATTCAAACCCCACCTGGATGCCATCCTGTGCAACCTGCTCTAGGTGAACCTGCTCTGGCAGGGGGGGTGGACTAGATGATCTCCAGAGGTCCCTTCCCACCCCTATCATTCTGTGATTCTGTGATAAATGCCTGTCCACTTCTTCCACTTGTCCCACCATCATGTCTGGGTGGAGTAAGCCAAATGATCCCTGCACCAGCCTCTTCCATCCAACCTCTGCCCTCTAAAGCTTTGATTTGATTCTCCCTTGCAGAAGCCTTCAAGGAGATTTGCCCAGCAGGACATGGCTACACCTACTCCAGCTCTGATATCCGCCTGTCGATGAGGAAGGCAGAGGCAGAAGAGCTGCCCCTCAGCTTGGAAGAGCACGGGAAGAGCAGCAACTGGACGTTGGGCTGGGCAGGAAGGAGACAGCGACTGCAAGACAGCCTGCATAGTAGCATCCTGGAGGCATTCCCCCACCCTGGCGCCTCGGCAGGAGAGGGTAGTGTGGGGTCTGCTGCTTAAAGCTGCTCCATCTGGGCCCCTAGCAAGGGTGGGCAAATTCCTAGATCCTGCTGTGCCCCCATGAATGGACTTCTAGCTGATAAGGGCTTTCTACATCTGTATGAATATGCAAGGTGTTCTTTGGCCCTAGTAGTGTTCTTGGAGCATGAGACACAACGTCTTCAAGCCTTTGGAGAGGAGGTCGAGTGTTTCAGGCTCCTGTGACCACAGCTTTGCAGCTGGTGCTGGCTGGCCAGGATGCCTCCACCTGGACCTCAGGTCTGCGTGGCAGCCCTGACATTGCAGTCCTTGGGCTTTTGTCCAGCCCAGCTGGAGGGAAGTGTGACCAACTGCTTGTGCCAGCACCTGCTGGAGCAGAAGCTCCTGGGGTCTGCACAGTGCCAGGAGAGAAGTCCAGGTGTGTTGGCATTGGGAACAAGCTCTTGTGGAGGAGCACGAGGGACTGAGCATCAGTGTCTTAGGGATGAAGTCAGGGCAGCCAGGGTTTGAGGAGGATGACTGCCTGTCTTGACTCTGCTCACCATGCACTGTTTCACTTTCCAGGTGAAGTTTCTCCTGCTGCGCAGGTGAGTAAGGTTTGTCTTGCTATGTCTGGATGCATTCATGGTACCTTGATGGGCAGGAAGGGGGATGTCATACAAATAGGTGACAGGGAGGTGTGAAGTATGTTCAGAGAGAGCAGCACTAAAGGGAGCAAGTAGCTGCTGCTGGAGGGAACAGCATACAAACTGCAAACCCTGCTACCCTGGCTGAGTTGCCACGGCTGAAGGCACTGTGCCATGTGCCTGCTCAGCGCTTGCTAAGAGGCCATTAGCTCAAACCAAGAGGAGCTGGGAGCTCTGCTGCACTAGTTCACGGTCACTGTTGACTCCAGCTGGTGTTTGCTGGGGCTGGGGTAGGAGCCCAGGCTGCTGTCATCCTGGCCTGGCTGCGGGGCTAGGCGGGCAGCAGGAGAAGGGGAACTGCTGCAGACAGCTCGAGGAGTGCTCCTCTTGCAGAGACCAGTGTCATGTTTAAGCCCGTCTTGCAGGCAGGTCTCCCCACGTTGGTGTGGATGCAACAGAAACCCTGCTAGAGCAGCTGGGGTGGGGGTCTCCCACACTGGCTGTGTGAATTCACTCTGTCTGACAGGAGCAGCCTGGGGACCGATTCTCTGTCAGGCTCTCTCAGCACTGCGTTTCTTTATTATGAGTCTCCCTTGAAAAGTGTCTCTTGATCCCTGCTGTCAGTAGAGGTTGGACCATATCTCTCCTGAGCATGTCTGTGCCGCCCTTGCTATAGCAGCCCAGCCCTCAGAATGTACTTGTAGCTGCTCTGAGAGAGGGGACAGTGCTGCCATTGTCCTGCTTCATAGACATGAAGTGGCTTGCCCAAGGACACGTGAGAAATCTCAAGACAGGGCAGAAATTTGAACGAAAGCTTCCAAATTTGAAGCAAAGCTAGGCTGGGACTTGTGTTGCTCAGCCGCCTGTTTTCATCTGCTGTGGAAAGTTCCTTGGAATGGACACCCAGGTTGTGCTCTAACGTCTCCTTTGGTAGCCATGGATTTGCCAGAAGGGGATGCTGAGAAAGAGGGTTGAGCACCAAGCCCAAGCACCCTTCTAGCAGGTAGCGCTCTGAGGCAGGTTGAAGCAGTGGCTGTCCCCTCCAAAGCCGCCAGTGACAGTGGCAGTATTTACCGTGCCGCACTGCTCTTCCTGGCCACCTTGCGGACATGCCTGCATCATGGCAGTGCCCCGGGTCTCACCCACATGGCATGCTGGCATGGTGCCTCTGCAGGTAGCCCCCTGGGCAAGACCAGGGGCTGTGTTTTGCTCTGGACAATGTGCTCAGGATGGAGTGCCCCTGCCAGCTGGACTCAGCTGTGGCAGCTTCTCCTCCCAGCACAGTGTGTCAGGGAGCAAGAGGAGCTGGGAGGTGGGTGGTAAAATGTCTCAGGGATGCTGCATCCCAGCTGCATGCACGTGGATAGAGGCAGTCCTATGTTTCTGTCCCTCAGGGTGCTGCTGTTGCCACTGCAGAGCCCGCCGCACGCAGAGGTGAGTGCCCGGCTGGCAGGAGGTCAGGGCGACCGAGGGGAAGAGGATGGGGCAGTGAGGAGAGAGAAGAGCGAGGAGACTGGAAGCTGCCTTCGCACAGCAGCCCCTGGCACTGGGCAGGATAGGCTCCCAGCTGGGCTGGCTGAAGGGTGGCACGGGGGCCCCCTGCCACACTGCAGTGGCTGATGTGGGGCTGTAGGGATGTGGGGAGGTGGTGACTCTCCAGCGAGGTGGAGGAGGCTGTGTTAAATAACAAGATGATCAGGTTGCTGCAGCCACCCTGCGGCCCCGTTCCCATGTGCTCTCTCGAGGCTGTGAGTGCAGGGACACCCAGCATGCGTAAACCTTGGGTCTGCACCTCTGCCTGGGGTCGGGGGCTGGGCCTCACCTCTCTTCTTTCTCAGCAGAGGAAGAGGAGTCCTGGCATGGTCCTCCCCACCCTGGCCACACCAGCACCTGGGATGCTGCTGCTCCAACACAGATGCCAGCGCAGGGCTCGGGTGTGTGTCCACCGCTTTTGGGGGTTTCCCTCCTCTCTCTGCCTGGCGCTATGGGGAAATTATGCCCCAAGCTCTGCCCAGAGGCTCTCTCCCTTCCTCAGCCTGCTTGTCTTCCCACATGCCCCACTTGACTTCCCAAAGAAAAGTCCCTGCCCTCTGGCCGTGGAGAGGCAAGAGCGATCCCATACAGGGAGCAAAGTGTTTGGCTCTCCAGATCCTTCCCCTCTCCTGCAGCTTGCTTGCACGCTTGCGGCGGTGGCTGCCGGGCGAGGGGGATCACGCGCCCGCTCCGGTGGCTTTGGCCCCGTTCCCCCAGCGGCGCGAGCTGACTCATCGGGAAGTGGGAGCGCAAGGGGAGGCATGTGGCTCCCAGGGCGGCTTGTTTACTGCGCCGGAAACAAGGGCGCTGTTGTTCCAGGGTTGCTCAAGTGTCTGGGAGCGCGGCCCCTGCCCTCCGCCGGGGGCTGGAGCACCTTGGGGAGCAGGCCTGGCGGAGGCACCTTGCTGAGGAATGCGTCTTTCCTCAATAGCCTTTTGTTTGGGGTTGGGCTGGCCCCCCCTAGCCGAGCTCAGTGC